GTGTGTGTGTGTGTGTGAGAGAGAGAGAGAGAGAGAGAGAGATGAGAGAGAGAGAGAGAGAGAGAGATTCTATAGCTAAATGTGATGTTGGGAAGTGAAGCCTGGTTGGAGGAGGTGATCACTGGTGCAAGGCCTGGCAGGGTCTCCCTCCCTCCCTCCTCCCTTGATTCCTCTCTCTGCTTCCCCCTGCCCTGCCACGAGCAGCTCCTTTCTGTTCTGCTCCTCTGCCTTGCTGCCCTTCCTTGGAGCCAGCCCACTATGGACTGAAACCTCTACAAACGGTGAGCCAGATAAACCTTTCCTCCTTTAAGTTGAGGGCATTGGGCATTGTATCTCAGGGACGAGAAAGTAACTAAGACACTCCCCATGTCCCCAAGTGCTGGGCCAACCCAATGGTACATGCGGTGCAGGACTTTGCAATAAAATCTACAAGACTAGGCACTTTTTGCTGACTTAAAAAAAGTATATTCTCTTACAACAGTAGCAACAAGAAGGGCAGTGCTGAGAGGGAACTCCAATACCACAAGTAAGAAGTATGAGATGCAGACTTTTTGAAAAGAGCTTTGAAACACTCAGGCTCTTAAATGCATAAATTCTACGCCTAGGAATTTCCAAAGGAAATCAGAGCTATGCAAAATATTTGCACAAGAGGATGTCCACAGCAGCATTCCTTACAGGAGCCAGAAACTGGAAACCAGCATGTTCCCAGCCCGAGAGCCAGGCCGGGGCACCCAGCTCGGGGAGCATCTGCAACACTGAAACAGAGTACGTTTTTAATGACATGAGGCAGCACTCATGATGTAATTTACACTAGTTTCAATTACAGGAAAAACTCCGTGCAGGGACTACGGCAGCTTCTCTTTTCTCCATCTTTCCTCCCACTCAGCCACTACAAACTAAGATTACAACAAAAAGGAGGGCATATGCAAAAAAGGAACTCAAAGGACCTGACCAATGAGAATGCAGGCCCTCCTATGCCCTCCTTCCAGAACCCCAAAGGACTCCAGACCCACAAGGCCTCCCCCAGACTCCCCACTGGGAAAGGCGCCACCTGAACCTGTTCTGACCAAGGCAGTGTGTGGGCTTCATGGCCTCTGGACTGGCTGACTTTGGGATCCATGAGGAAAGGGCTTTCTGGCCAGGTGCAGGCATAGCCTCAGGCTACAGTGGGGCCCCACAAAGCCTCAGCTCTGCCAGGCCCAGCTGCACACAGGAGGTGCCTGGCCGAGCTCAGCCTCTGAGGTGCACACAACAGAGGTGGACTCGGGAGCCCGAGAACACTGAAGGTGATTCTGACTGCAAACCACACGTGACCCCTTAAAAAGAAGAGACTCTTGTTATTTTTTGTTTTTTAGTGAAAATCTAGCTTGGCCTCAGATTCTCTTCTCGTCTCATCCAAAGGCTTCCACACCAGGTGGGCGAGGTGACGACCCCTGGGCAGGGTGCAGGTCCTGTCCACTGGCCCCACCACACACTCTGGGTAACATCTGTCCTCCACTGTGGGGATGCCGACTGTGTCTCTTGACCTCAAAGGCAAATTGGAAACTGCCAAGTGCCATAGAAACACTCCAAGCCAAGCATGTGCCCACTCTCCTGGCCCACTGGGGAGCCCCCAGGTTCTCGAGGAGCAGCACAGCACTTAGGTTCGACTTGAACCTGACAGTTACAGAAGGAACTGCAGGACAGAGGCTGTGGGGCCAGGGTGAAAATATTCTAGGTTGGTGCTAACATGAGGGCTGCATTACTGGGCATGAGGCCACAGCCAGTGCCAAGGCACCAGAGGAAGGCCAGGGTGGTGGACGGGAGCTCAGTCAAGGGAGCCTAAGGCAACAGGAAGCCCTGTGAATAAGAAGTCAGGGAAAGCTTCTGGGAGGAGAGGTCACCTGGGCTGAGACTGAAGGAGCAGTTAGCAGAATGTGGAGGGAAGCACACCACAGAGGGCAAGCCCAGGCTCACACAGGCAGGCTTCCAGAATCTGAGCTGACTTCCTGGAGGAGAGGGTGCAGAGTCGAGGACGAGGCTAAGACCCTGAGAGGACACACACCATCGAGAGACCGCTGGTTCACCCCTCCCACAGGGAAGCACAGTTCCTGCGAGATGACACCACAGACCATAAGAGCCTGCCAGGGGCTCCCAAAAGTACCCTGCTGCAGAGGATGCCAATGGGCCCACAACCCCAGCCAAGATGGCTGAGAAGCCACATGGGGGCTCCAAATGCCCTCTGTGGTTCCAGATGATGCTTATACGACTTCAGGGACATTTCCAGGTCAACCCAGACAAGACCCTGCCCCTATTTCCCTGATGTCATCTTCAGGGAGCACCATTCAGACCCTCTTACATGACACAAGAGTGTGGGGTGCTGACAGACTCTAACTACAGTAACCACTGGTGACCATCACCTCTGGCTGCTGCCTGTGGCTACCACCTCTCTCCAAAGCCAGTCTGTCCTTCTCAGTGATCTCACAAGCATCCGGGCTGAGGCCAACAGGTGAGGCAGCCCCGCAAGACAGGACTAGAGTGCACCTGCCAGCACTCTTCTCACATGCCTCCTCCTCTATCAAGGCAGGAAGTGCCAACTGCTGCTGGAAGGTCCAAACCACATCGGAGCAAGGCATCGGAAACCTGTCCCTCTCCATGTTCCACCTGAATGTGTGCCTAGCTCAGAGCAGCCTGGGTGGGTATCATGCCAAAAGGAGGCCAGGGGCTCACTGGGAAGGTTCCAGAAGTGTGCCTTGGGGCAGGGACACATCTGCCCAAGTCTTGCAATGCCCTGGGGATGCGGACAAGAGATAGAGAGGGTCCCAGCCCAAGGGGTCACTCCAACACACACAGGACCCTGGAAGGGTGGGGAGACAGGAGGATAGCAGACATCTGAGTCTCTGTCACTCAGCACCAGCCACCCTGCCATTGTGGGTGTGACCCCTGGCTTGGAAAGCAATAGAGTCCCAAGGGTACCTGGGCCCTGGGCAGATGGGTGAAGTGCAGACTGGCCTCTGCAGCAGAGGTAGCCCCCGGAGGTCTCAGGGGAGCCTGTGGGAGGGTCCTCGGTACAGCCTAGATGAAAACTCACAGAGGCATCGCCCGAAGCCTCTTCTAAGCTGGCTCACTACAGAAACCGTCTGTAGAGCCTAAGGGAGGAGAGGGCACTGAGGCAGGTCAACGGGCAAGACTGAGGGCCTTCTGGGAGTCCCTCCCCTACTGGCCCAAGTGCTGCTGAGCCAGCGACTTCCAGGTGTCAGCAAAGTGAGAAGCAGTGTGAGGCCAACAATGCTCCCAGGGATGCTTCCACTCTTGCCTCACCTGATCCCCATCTGGGGAAGGGGTGCTAGGGCCTCCCTGGAGCCTCCTACTCCGGGGGACCAACTCTGGAGAAGGGAGGTGGAGCCCTTCCCCTGGAAACCCACAGGGCTGCAGGAAAGCACCCCAGTGAAGGTGCCTCTGTGGGGTAAGCTCACTTCAAAGGTCCGGGACTCTCCCTTCCCACTCTTGCTTCCAAGAAGCAGGGAGGAACCCTCCTGGGCCTGTCAGTGCCCAGCTCCATGTAGCACTGCTCAGCTGAACTGTGGGGTGGCTCCCATACAGGAATGTGCCTCCCTGCACAGCAGACCCAGTGCTGGTATATGGGGGTCTGAAACCATTAAGGGAGGGCTCCAGACCACCATCTCCTAGGCTGGCAACTGCTGGGGGACAGGACACAGCTGGAGGAAAGTTGGTGTGCGTCTCCAACTCCAGGACCCCAGTTGTCTTTCCTTTTCACTGTGTACAGTCCTGGGGACTGAAGCCAAGGAGAGCTGAGTTATGTCCCCAGCCCTTTGTATTTTTCCTTATTTCGATACAAGGCCTCACTACGTTGCCCTTCAACTTGCCAGCCTTCTACCTCAGCCCCCGAGGAGCTGGGATTACAGGTGTGTGCACCATGCCTAAAAGGATCTCAATTTTCTGAGACTGAGAAAGACCAGGGAAGAAGGACTGGGGGCTGTTCAGGGGTGCAGGGGCTGGACCACTCTCAGCTCTACTCCAGCCAATGGGAGAAGACCCCACACCCACCTAAATGCCCACACTTCTGCCCCGAGGGACTTCTCCGGGTCAGTGGCACACTTCCCACACTCACCCTCCCAGCCCATACCAACTCAGTCCTCAGAGGAAGGTGAGGGCGCAACAAAGACACGGTGGAAGCGCTGGCTCTGGGCTCCCAGTCCTTTCCAGCCTGGATGCCTGGGGCATAGGGTGCCTAAGGGGGTGTCCCTGCAGGACATGTGGGTACAACAGGAAAGGGAGGGAAACAATACCAACGGAAATGCGGAAGTCCAGCACTGCCCCGGGACCTAGTGCTTCCCAGGAGGGCTGCCCCAACACTCTGCCCACACACAGGCCGGCTGAGTCCCCACCCTCACAGGCACGAAGAGCAAGTGCACCCTGAAGGAAGGTGTCTAGCTGCACACGTACCCCGCCCCGGCTGATCCGGAGGATGAGCCCCCACCCGGTACCTTTGTTCCTCTCTCGTGGCGGGAGGACAGGTGATACTGCCTTCTCTCCGCCCCCAGGCGGGTCACTCCAGGTCTTTGTTCTACCTGCACACGCCCGCAGGCTGGGCTCACCCCTTCCCCCGCAGTTCTTCCCCATCCCCTAACAGCCTGCAGGCGGCCCCCGAAGGCTTGAGGGTACCCCGGGTGCAGGGAGAGGAACCTCACTTCTCTCGTTCCACTTTGGTACTAGAGGGACACGCCTAGGCGACCCCTCCAGGTGTGCCCCTCTGGAACCCGCTTCCCCACCCAAAAACCAACAGGGCTCCGTGAAACCAGCCTGGAACCACAGCCCCGGCGGGCCAGCGGCGGCGACCCAGGAGGAAGCCCAGGCACCGTGCAGCCAGGGGACAGACACAGAGGAGGCCGTGAGAGATCAGAGGGCAGCGGTGGCAGCTGCTGGAGCTACCGAGCTGGGGCCGCAGGGAACCAGGAGGCGGCTGGGCCGGCAATGAGCGGGGGCCCCGCAGCGCTCACCTGGGCGTGCGCAACGCGGCAGGGTCGCGGCGGTCCAGCACACCGGGTACGCAGTTGGTGAGTTCGGTCCAGTCGGCGTGCAGCCCGCAGCTCCAGCCCGTGGAGAAGCGGGAGAAGAGCCACGTCTCGCGGCGGTTGGGCCGGTAGCAGGTGCACTTCTTCTGGCCGGGCCGGCAGTCGCAGGGCACCTCCAGGCGCACGTTCTGGACGAGGTGGCGGCCGAAGGTGGTGCCGCCCGTCTTCTGGATGTGCAGGAAGACGATCACGTCGTCGCCCTTCATGTCGAAGCGCAGCGAGCGCTCCAGCTCGCGCACCGGGAAGTAGTACTTCTTCTCGTAGTGCGGGTCGGGCGTGGGGAACAGGTCCAGGTCGTCGGGCGGCGCGCGGCCGCCGGGCGCGCCCAGGCTCAGCCCTGGGCCCGCGTACTGGTACAAGATAAGCATGAAGCACGCCGAACCCGCCACCACCAGCAGGAACTTGCTGGCGCGCTCAACCATGGTCCTGCCGCCGGCGCGCCGCCGCCGCATGTGTCACCATCGCCGGCCGCCCGGGCGAGGGGCGCGGGGCCCGGAGGGCGGGGGGCGCAGAG